CTGTAATCGCGCCGCTTTAACCCTGTCAACACCAACGAAGCGAGTCTTCAAAGCATCCCAAATTTCTTTTGCTTCCGTAAACTGAGCAACTTGTAGTACGATCTCTTCTGGCAAAGCTTGAAACAGATATGCTATTGCCATATTGTTCTTCTTTGGATCGATTTCTGTTCCTGGTTCGATCACCTCCCAAAGCCCATTAACATTAAAAATTGCTTTGATCTTCACGGCCCAAATAGTGTAGTTTGTAGCAGTTAGAATTGGAACCTGAAAAGATAGTGAACTATTTTCCCTTGTAGTCACAATCTGTCTGTTGTCTTCCATTGCACGACTTTAATTCCTTTGACAATTTTCACAAAATTCTTAACTTCGATTCCTTCCCGGGTTGTAAGCCACCTGCAATCAACCACCAACCAGAAAACAAGCCCCTGCTTTTCTGTCTTCCAAGCCACTAAACGAAAGCAACCCCGCTGATTCGTTTTTCCCGCAGTGTTTGGTTGGAATGCTTCTGCCAAAGGAAAAACTAGCCACTTGCTATTCTTGTCCTAGGCGAGGAAGAGAATCTTGTCGAAGATTTTTGACCTGTTGTCAAGGCAGATCTCCCTTTTCTTGCCGCTGATCGCACACGCTCTGATACCAATTGTAGGAAAATAATTGGAAGAACAAAACAAATGCAGATCTGTTTATAAAATACTCTGTTTATATACTCCAGATCTGATTTTTTTATTGTGAACTACATTCAGGAATTCTATGTTCCTGGATTATTTATAGACATCAACCAACACAACTTTTGGTACTAATCAACACATCTATTACTAACTAATACAACTTCTAGAAATAACTACCTTTAACCTCCAGAAATAACTACCCCTGTCCCTTTTATTTTTTAAATTTAAATCTAAACTAATAACTTATGACCAGGAATTAAACAATACGATTAAATCTAACAGTGTTTTCGTGAGTTGGTTTTTTGGATAAAGAAAGAAACCTTATCGGTCCCACGGGTGGCACCAAAAATAATGGTGTAAATTACCAATCCGGTAAATAGTACTAGACTGGGTCTAGGATTGTTTACTGGATTTGAGAAAGTAAATGGTAGTAAACACCAAAGTTAACCAGGAGGATTCTAGGTGGAAACACATGTAGCCCAATTGTTGTTAGAATATTGTAAGGGAGCTATTACACAAGGGTTTTTAGAGAAAAGAATTTGGTTCCCTTCATTTGAGGGTTACACAAGTATTTATAGAAAGCTAGAGGGGACAAGCCTAGGTGGCGCGAGGTGATTGCCTCTGTGTTTTAGTGGCTTATTTCATCCCTTTATTCCCTTGTCATCTAGCTAGGAAGGTGACTCCCTTGTCGCGTAGCGTGTTGGACTGATTGCTTGAATATCTTCAGTGATCCTTCGTTGAATTCGGCCGCTACAGTCGAACCTCCCTTGGATTCTTTCATGCCGACACTTCCCATCCCTGGAAACCATACCGGTTAGGTTTAGGCGAGATGGATTTATGGAGATTGGGGATGATCGGGACAAGCCACGTCGTTTGAGCGGTAGAGTAATAGAAGTGTACCGGTCAAATTTCCGTCACCGACCGATATAAACTTTTGTTGTTTAGGCTTCCTATTCCAAAAATTCATCGTTTGACCGGTCAAACATTTGTAGACCTTCCCTTGGACCGGTACTGAGTGGAATACACCCATCAAACAACATACTATTTGCAAGTATGGAGTAAGAAAATGTTCATGAAGGAAAAAATGTAATTTGTTTCCTTAGTCCTTACTGATTCTGCTTGCTTGTAATATGTTGGGAATGTTTGGTGATCAATATATTTGTGGATTTTGTGCATTCGGTCCAAATAAAATTTAAAGAGGAATGGAGGTAGTAGGAGCTAATACTCAATATTTACTGATTTTACTCAATACATCAGAAAGCTCAGGCCCATTAAACATGTTCAAACATGTCATCAAAAGATGCACACCACTGGAGTGGAAACATATCTGCAATTACTCGTAACTAATATACAAATGGGAAGTAGAGAAACATAGGACAACCACATGGTGCCCAACATTAAGAAGTATCACCAACCTTAAGATCAGAAGGTAGAAACCCAGCAACTCCAGGGGCTTGGAGTAGAGAGGCAGAAGTGAGGACAGTAGCACATCCATAATGTTCATCATATTCAATTATAGTCCCAGATCCAATATGCAGCAATTTTTTCCTGTGGGCATTTATACACGAAATTCTTTTTAGAATGCAAGATTTAATTAAAAACCCTATTTCCAAGTCTAATAAACCCAAACCTATTTGTGTTGAAGATGGTATAGATGATGAAAATAAAGACATCCAGAAATCAGAAAAGAAGATGAGACTGAGATGTACCAGCTCGGGTTTTAATGGAGACAACACTTGAAGAAGCTCTCATCATAGCCCTCTTAATGATGGGGTCGAGATGATAATAATCTTCAACAACTTTGTCAAAATGAGAATAACTACTAGTCAAAGCTCGTATAGCTTCAACATGAAAGAAGATATAATAAAAAAGAACATTAGCTGGGATTAACATAATATACAAAGATATGTGTGTGTGAAATAATTTAACCGTAAGACTAACATCGGCCGCGATGCCACGTCCAATCCATGCTCTAGAAATACAAGAAGCTTAATGACCAAATATGACACCTACATGGCCACACAAAAAAGAACATGAGAGATGCAACAAATAACTTGGGCAATTACCATCTTACTAAAGGCATTTATTCCTATAAAATAAAAAAGTAATTATTTTCACCCACCACTAGCACAAAATATCTGAATTTAGAAATAAAAAATTAACACAATAACCCACTAATTCATTTTAGTTGAAACAAATATTCATGTTAGATGAGAATTAGAAACTTTGAAGGAAATTAAAGAGTAGATATTAAAATGAAAGAGAACCTTGAACAAAGTGAAGAGCAAAGGGGCTAACTAGGATCCAGACTGATTTTTCTGGAGCAGAAAGTTGGCCGACCGGCCGTTTGGACCAAATTTTGCAAATCCCCAATACGGGCGCAAGGAAGTGACTAGCCTTGGACAATAAGTAAATCTAAATCCAACACAGAGCCATCACTCCTTTCGATCAAATTCCATGCACAATTAGTGAAATAAAACTAAAGCTGTCCAACATAACAAAAACTACCAACCCAATTTCAAAAAAAAAAATAAAAAGAAAAAATGATAAAAAAAAATACTCTCACCTTTCATTTTGTTGAGTAAAACATGCGTTTTTTGTTAACCAGCCGTAAAATAGCTTAACGGCAACCCAAAATGCGCACATTTCAGTAAAGGTAGGATTATTATGCATCGAAATAAAAGGTACGGAGTAGATTCTTTTTCTTTTTGAAAGGCTGGATAACGGTGGAGATATTCTGGATAATAGTTCCTTTTTTTAAGAAATTGTGATTGATTTTAAAACTTTAATGAACTTTTACTACAAGAACCTTCCTGTTTGGCAATGACACAATTCTGTTACTCGCTCTTGTTGTTAGTTACATTGTCTATTTTGAATGATACGCTGAATTGTTGAGTCAGTTACTAGGCCTGATTTGGACGGTCTAATGCTGAATCTCGTTTGAGGAGCTAGGAAACAGTGAAGTTAAACAATGCTTCTAATGACTTCTAAATCAAAGCCAGACACAGGAAATAAAAAATTTATAGTTCACGAGAAATCAACTAATTACAACCAATAAGATCTAACCCAAATTGGAGAAAGAGCAGATCACATAACGAATTATCGCCAATATCGAACTTACTTGATTATAGTACAAGAGATAAATACGTGAATTGACTTCTGATGATAACAGTAGGCGCGAGAGGTGAGAAGAACGATGAATATTGAAGCAGGGGGTGTGAAAAAGTTTTTCGGTGGGAATGTTTGTGTCTAGGTTGTCGGGTTGGTTTCGTTGTTTTCCTGGAGCGCGGGATGGGGACACGTTCTAGACGGGTTCGGATTCTCTGTAGGGTTTTAGTAATTTGTAGAATCGGACTAATGACTGGACCGGCCAAGATACTTGTTCTACCCGTTTAAACATATTTAAAAATTATATAAATAAATAAATATATGTGTACATATATATATATATACAGATTCTCTCATTTATAAATACCTAATTCGATTAAA